CACAGACACAACACGCACACACAAACACACACACATACACCCACATGCACAGACATGACATGCACATACACACACTTACATAGATGAGCACACATACCACACACACACACACACACACACACACACACACACACACACACTTACATACATGTGCACACAGACACAACCCGCACACAAACACACACACTTACATACAATTGCACACAGACACAACACGCACACACACACTTGCATACATGTGGACACAGACACAACACGCGCACACACACACACACACACACACTTACATACATGTGCACACAGACACAACATACACACACACACTTACATACATGTGCACACAGACACAACATACACACACACACACTTACATACATGTGGACACATACACAACACACACACACACACACACACTTACATACATGTGCACACAGAAACAACATACACACACAAACACACACACACTTACATACATGTGCACACAGACACAACACGCACACACACACTTACATACATGTGCACACAGACACAACACTGTCACACACACACACACACACACACACACACACACACACACACACTTACATACATGTGCACACAGACACAACCCGCACACAAACACACACACTTACATACAATTGCACACAGACACAACACGCACACACACACTTGCATACATGTGGACACAGACACAACACGCGCACACACACACACACACACACACTTACATACATGTGCACACAGACACAACATACACACACACACTTACATACATGTGCACACAGACACAACATACACACACACACTTACATACATGTGGACACATACACAACACACACACACACACACACTTACATACATGTGCACACAGACACAACATACACACACAAACACACACACACTTACATACATGTGCACACAGACACAACACGCACACACACACTTACATACATGTGCACACAGACACAACACTGTCACACACACACACACACACACACACTTACATATGCACACAGACACAACATGCTCACACAAACACACACACTTACACACATGTGGACACAACATACACAAACACACACACACTTACATGTGGACACAGACACAACCTGCACACACAAACACACACACTTACATACATGTAAACACACACAAACTTACATACATATGCACGCTGACACAACATACACATACACTTATGGTCACATGTACTTACATGCACAAATACATGACACACACACACACACACACACTTACATACATATGCACTCTGACATGACATAAACACATCCATACACATGCGGGCGCGCACACATTCACGCATATACGCATATACACACCACACACTCATGCACAGGTGCTCACAGACACACACATACTCATGTGCACACTTACTTACACATCACACATCATGCATTCATACAGACCCTCACACACATACACAAACATACACTTTCTTCTACACATACATGCACAGAAACACACACACACACAGACTCCCACAAACACACACACTTGCATACATATGCACACTGACATGACACACACACACACACACACACACACATACTTGCATACACATACATACTTACATACACATGCACACACACATTCACACACATCGCATACACATACCACACACTCATGCACAGGCGCACACACACATACAGTACTCATGTGCGCACTTATACATCACACATCATGCATTTATACAGACCTTCACACACACTCATATACATAAACATACACTCTCTCCTACTCATACATGCGCACACACACACACACACGCTTAGTATGAGTGCAGTGTTCTCCCGCACTGATGATTGGTCAGACAGAAATGGAAAGATCTGCTTTATTATTAAGCGTCAGCATCTGCACCGACTGCTGCTCATTTACCCTCCACAATCTCAACAGCCATCAGAAAGAGTGTGTTTCCCCTTCACAAACCCATTATATTCTGAACTGCTGAGTGTGTGTGTGTGTGTGTGTGTGTGTGTGTGCTGTTGATGCAGACGCTGGCGGATTAGTCTGAACACAAAATAATATGCTAATTTATCAATGGCGATTGAGGCTCTTTGTTCTCCGTCATGATAAGAAACGCCCCGAGAGAAGCTAATGGGTTATTTTTTGTATGCAATTACTGGAGGTTTTCTTCCTCGCTGATGAATTATGCATCACAATCTCTCTTTTATACACACAAGAGCAGTCACACGCAGGTATTTTCACTCAAATAAATAGCTTTGACCAGAGTTTGAAATTTAAAGAGTCGTGTGTGTGTGTGTGTGTGTGTGTGTGTGTGTGTGTGTGTGTGTGTGTGTGTGTGTGTGTCTTTGTGTTTGTGTTTGTGTTTGTGTGCGTGCGAGTGCGAGTGCGAGTGCGAGTGCGTGAGCGTGTGCGTGTGTGTGCGTGTGTGTGTGTGTTTGTGTGTGTGAGGCTGAGCGATCTGTTCACAATAATGACTTGCATTCAGGTAAATCATTTCAGCCTGTGGACGTAAACACTTTTGAAATGTGACTGATGGCGATGTTGGAATCAGAAAACATGAAACTTGAAAAAATAAAATAAATTACTCATTTCTCACTGTAAAAATGTCGGGTTGTTGTTGTAAACCAGCAGAATGAACCACCAACTTATCCAGCATATGTTTTACGCAGCGGATGCCCTTCCAGCTGCAACCCAGTACTTGGAAACACCC